ACACACACACACACACACAAAGACACACAGACACACCCACAACTGCAATGACATCAGAAAATCCTCCGGTCTCTGTCCTGCCACTGACTCGTGAGAGCACAGCCACATGTTTTCAGACATACAGTTTCATATGTAAAGGAAACATTGTCCATCAAATGATGCCCATCATAATAATAATTTTATTAATATGGCTCATTTCTCTATTGTCAACATGCTTTGTCAGTGCACAACCACAACAGAACAGTGTTATCTTGAGGCAAAGCATTCACAACAAGACAATGGGGCACACAACTTGGTAACACAGCAACATGACATTAGGGCTGGAGAGGACAACAGCCTATTCTTGTTCATCCTACTACACACAGCACAGTTAGCACCAACAGGACTGCTTGGGTCAACACGAGCACAGTTATGCTGCTATGGTACAGTTACACACCATGCCCTGTTTACCTTCTTGGCTAAACATGTTACCCATGTTGTATATACACATAGACCTACGCTCCTGTCTATCTGAGCGCAGGGGACCGTCTCATGACGGTACTGTGGTAGCACAGAGAGCAGGCTGGGACCGACCTGTGAAGGAGGAGAGGCAGACTTTGATGAGCGGTCCACAGCAGGAAGAGTTGAGCAGCGGTCTGCAGCAACAAGACGCCATCTGGCCCAAGAGCCGGCAGCTCCCAGAGATCAATGCCATCCAATCAGTCCCCCCACCCCCCCAGCCTCTTTAACAACAATTCACTCTCTTCCTCTCTGTTGGACAAGCCCCGTTTTCCTTCCTATTTCTGTATTTCCTTTCCTGCCCTGCTCACTCCACCAGTTAGTGTTTACTGAATGAGTCTCTTCTTCTGTCCCCCTGCAAGCCTTATCTCTTCTTCTTCTATACCTGCCTGAGTCTGCTCCTATCTGTAATCCCTCTGTCTCTCACTGTCTGCATCTCCCTCCTCCCACCAGCATCTCTCTCCTCGGTAGCTGCCCAGTTAGTCAGTCAATGCATAAAGCACTCGCTGCGACTGGTATGAGTGTGTGTGTGGGGGGCAGGCCTCGGTGAGAGTTGTGTGTGTGTGTGTATGCGGGTCAGGGAAAATATGCACAGAATGTGTGTCACAAAGACAATGAGTGAGTCTTTAGCTGGGAGAATGTATTGCTGATCCACTGTAAGGCAATGCTACATGGGGACAGGCTGCAAGGTCACAGGGAGGGGGGGATGAGAGTTGTGGCACAGATCAAGGATCGGTTTATCCACAACACACTTCAACACATCTCTGCCCTCTGCCATGAGAGGGGAAACATAAAGAGAGATAATAAGACATCAGCACACCAGGAGACCATCACATGACTAAAAGGAGTATAGATCCTTTATGCTGTCGATGACGAGGGTCAGCACTTTAACATGACTGTGAAATGTGCCTTCACTTCTCTTATGTGACCCTTCATTTCTCTAAGGAAACAGCCTTATCAACAATGGCTCCTTTCAGATAGTAAATCTCTTAGTTTTATTTCAGAGAGAAAAAAACAGCTGATATTATCATGTTCTCTTCGACACACAGTGTGTGCCTGTGGTTTGATGACAGTACTCTGTAATTGGCCGGTACTGCTCCAGCACAATGTGTTCACTCAGGCAGTAACAAATCATCTGGTTAGTGCTAGAACATGATGCCACTTTGGGAGCAATGTGTTATGTTCTGGCTGTGGCATAATAATAAATTAAAGACAGTATCCATGTTTAGTTAATGTATTACAACCCATACACATAATGTATTACAACCCAGGCGATTAGAATTAAATTTTTTAACACAGCAATGACACATCATCGCCTTTGAAATCGTCTTTGTGAACTTACAGGAAACAGTTTGTTTACAAATCCCTACAGACACAGACATGTCTTGTTTCTGACCACTTGTCACATGTAAATCCAACTTTCACTCTTTTTTTGCTCCATTGTGGGTCCCTACCCTCTCATGAAGGAAGTCCCTGGCCCTGTAGCTGCTCATTGCTCACAAACTAGTTGCGATATTTGTCAATGTGCAGCATAATCCTGAACTAGATGTGTCCAGTGAATGTTGAATGCTTTTCCAGTGAACACAGCTCAGCTGCCTGCTGCGGCCGAAAAAACGCTATGAGTGCGGTAAGAAAAACACAAGCACTTAAGATGGCAGTTAAACAACTGAACTGAAACTCACTAAAGGTCCCTAAAGCAGAAAGGAACTGCAGTTTCAGGTGATCAATCTTTATAGTTTTATCACCATGAACTAGCCCCTCACAATTTCACTTAATTTATTCTTATGATCCAATTATCGGCTACAGCCATTTTAAAGAAGGTCTGGATGTGCAGAAGGAGTTGAAAATGATTATATTATGTTATTTTATAAAAGAGTTAAAAGATAAAAGAGTTGCAATTACACTACTCTGTGATTCAGCTTCTGCTGCATATTTAATGTCTTTATTCTGGGATGATTTTAACCTATATGAAATGTTGTAATCTTTTAGCCTTGTCCACTATGTCACTGCATTTTACCACTTTGTAGAAATATTATGATTTAAAGTCATAAACTAACTGATTGTGCTCCAGAGGAAACATTTTAAATACATTGTACAGTAAGGTTGTTTCCCTCAATCATAATTATGGCATCTAACAAACAAATTGAACCAGTAGACTATCAGGTGATGCTTTGTATGTCATGTGAATGGACAGCAGGAAGCTGCATCTTCACTGCTGTATCAGAGAAAACACCTCCCTCTGATTTGAACACAGAATTCAATATTGAATATAAAGCTTTATTATTTTAGCTGGAAGAGAAAACTGGAATACAATAAATAAGTCACTTGAGCTAGTTTAAGATAGACAGATAAACCTTATTTTATCAGACTGTAGAAGACAGAAGTATCTTAGTGTTTTCTTACATTTTTCTGTTCAGGAGATGTATATTTAGCTGTTTTTTGTTATGGTTAGTCATTCTCAGTGGTGGACTGATACCTAACTGATCTGAAAAACTCTTAATGAGGTTTGTTTATGAGTCAAGCTACAAAAACACTGTATCCTACAGGTCCTATAATGCAGCCTGCCTCATGAAGGGCCCTAAAATTTCACACCCTAAGTTTGCAGCACTTTGCCTATAAAATCTAATCTTCCAACTAAAGGTCATAACATTTTACAGGGTTCCATTCATTTCGAAAATTTTATATAATCTTCCAAAATTGGTTAAACCCATGAATCAATACAATAAAACAAAGATAAACCAACTGATTTGACGTGGTGTTGGAAACAACATACTTTAACCCTGAGACAGAGAGGCTCTACGCATGAGGCTTTTTGTGACTTGCACACACTTGGCCACTGCATAATAATCGCTGAGCATGCTGGGAAACAAAATGCATTACGTTTCTCCCTCATCCTTCTTCTGACCGTTCCGCTGCTCTAGCACGGCGGAGACAAAGTGGCTCAAATCCTTGTCTGAGATCAGTCTCTTCATCTTGTTTATTTGTCGGCTGGATGGCCATGACTGAGTCTGAGCTGCAAACAGGCCGGAGTCGTGTCGGAGCATTTCACCACACTCTGCCAGACTCCCCTGCGTGTTTTCTCATAGCGAAAAAACAGATTGTCTAATCTAATAAATACAGACCGCTCAAGGCTGATGTGTGTGGTCACATGCTGATCCTTTGTGAGCACAGAGAGCTGCACAAGGGGCAGCGGTTGTCCTCAGTGATGACCACTTTGAAACATGCAGAGATTGTTGAGCAAACAGTGCAGTCTGATTTGTGGTGATGCTGTGTGAGCTTCTATCATCTTGGCTAAACACCTGTGGCTCTACCAGTTGTTTTCTTGCTGCTGGAGCATCGAAACGTTTCCTCTCCAGGACTGATGCTTTACTAAAATCTCATAGAAACAATGTGATTACAGACACGTGAAGCCACAGTACGGGTTGACGAGTTCCTGCGACCACATACCATAACTGACCTCCACACAGTCTGAAACCACAGCAGAAAGCCTGCACTGAAGTTGTGACACTCGGCCGTCCATGACAATAACATTCAACCCTAATAAGAAACATATGGAGTCAGCGGTATCCGCCTGTGTTCACATGCATGCCAGGCATGGATTGTTTGAGGTGTTTGTGACTCTGTAAGTGTGTATGTGTTGGTCTGTGAGTGCAGTCTGGGTTTTTTAGATTTGGAGTATGCAGTACAGGACTTAGTGGAGAGTAATATGAGACAGGGGTTTGGGGCTCTAAGTTTAGACGAACCTCCTGTTAGCTCACTCGCATGCCTGTGTGTCCAGGGCAGAGCTCCCTGCAGGGAGATTCCCACACTGTTGCTTACCGGCATTTGTGCAAAACATTTTACAACCATAACTGCAAATTCATCAGGCTTCATGGATCATTTTTATTTCCACATTATAGCTTAAATTCAATAGAAATAGAAAAGTCACTTGTATAAATCTATTTGTTTGCTCTTCAGGAGACTTTGGAGACATTTACACAAATTAACTAGTTACTGACGAGGAAACTACATAGTATCTTTCATCCTTTAACCTGGTGCCTGACAGCAACTTTATGGTTATGTGACTAAGTACAAAGTACAGCAGTATTAAACCATACAACAAAGTTCAAACAACAACAAACAACAGCTCTTACCTCTGTGTTTCCTTCAGCTCTCCCTTCTCAAGTCATTCCTCAAGTGTGCGGCAGAATGTGTGTGTAATCTGTGTATCTGTGTGTGTGTCACCATTTAACCGGTGAATTGTATCTCATGACAGCTGCTGAAACTGTCGCCATTCTCCACTGTCAGCCAAAAGAGCACAGGAAGGGAAAAGCAGAACAAGAAAATATGAGAGTGTAAGTCTGTGAGAGTGTGTGTGTGTGTGTGTGTGTGTGTGTGTGTGTGTATGCCCCTTCGAGGGCTACAGAGTCTACCCCAGACAGCATGTCACTGACTGAGGAAGTTTAGCACTTAACTCCTCCCATCATTTCTGTGGGACTAGGATAAAGCCCCCCCCCCTTTTTTTTCTCTCCACACACACACACACACACACACACACACACACAGACACACACACACACACACACCCTCTCACTGTCAGAATGTGGAAACGTATGACTCTACTGGACTGAAGTGGTGCAAACAGGCCAGGTTATTGTTACCTTATTATTTTTTTTTTTTTACCTTACCCAGGTAATTATTTGATACCCATTCAGAATCAAAAGCACCGTAAGCACATTTCCTCATTCTACAACACCAGTCACACCAGTTTCTTCTGACGCACTGCAGGGGAGGACAGCAGATTACTGCTAGGCCACAAACAATCAGCTGGTTCATACAATTGTTCTGTCCATACCTGAGGAATCACTCTTCTTCATTCCTAAGGTGCAGAGCCTTTACACTCACAGCTCTGCCCATCGAGTCACACTCACAGCACTAACATTTCACTCAATGTACTAAAAGAGTTTAACCCTATGTGCTAGATGACAGCACAAAACAACAGGATATGGTTGTGACCCCCTTTTTTCAATCTTTGACACTCTTTTATTTTCTGTTTGTGTGAGGGGACATAATAATCCCCAGGCCAGTAGTGTTTCTCTTTCTGGTTGGGTTTTTTCCCCCCTCTGCTTAGTTAAATATAAACTCTGGAACTGATTGTGTATCCCCAGCCTCCAGTGCACCGTGACAAAGTCACCCTGAACGCAGAATATCAGCCCCGCGCTGCACATGTGATCATGCAATTGGCTATGCACGGCTGCAGGACACAGACCATTTATTCTGCTCTGTTTGCAAAAGTGTGAGTGTGTGTGTGCGAGGTAGATAAAGCCAGGGGAATGTGGTTATATTGAATGGCAACAAATTACATATAGACAGGAATGGGTGGAGATAATAGTCTAGCATTACACCGTACCTTCCCCAGGCCATGTGGCAGGACAAAGGGCAAGGATTGAGAGGGTTAGTGAAGAATGCAGCCTATTGCTGATCGCTGCGACTGATAGTGGACACAGCCTGAGCAGAAAAACACAGAGTGGACGATCGGGCCGCACAGTGTGGCAGTAACATCGTCGTGTCATGTGCTCAGCGGGTCAAAAAAGGTTGTTATTTGTCCTCAGAGTTGCTGTTTTTATAATGTTTGTTGTCAGTGCTAATCAAACAATTTCCATTCAGAGGAGATGGGGTGATGTCAACAGTGTGGGAGTTCATTCCAGTAATAACACACACCAGGAGATGTTTGTCTCTCTTGTCGATCAAGGGGCACTGGCGCCCTCGCAGACGGTGACAACACTGCGTTGACCCGGCGGCCTCCTGCTTTCAGTGCACAGGAAAGGAAGCTTCCTGTTTTTCTGCCCCATCAGTTTCACAGGACAAAAGCACAACGCAGGGCTGCCACAAGAGCACAATCAGCAGCCGGTGCACGTCAGCCCCACAGGGCACCTACATACACCCAGGTGAAGACAGTTTTTATCTGTCAATCATTATTCATATTGACCATAATCATCTTTGACCAGGGCACAGCCAGTAAACATACACTCTTCCAGGAGACTCACTCGGTTATACCATTTAGTTTTTCATGAAGGTGACTGTGTGTCATTTGTTCATAGAACAGAACACAAATCCTCCCATACTTAATGTTTACTTGGCGGCATGATTAATTGATGAGAGAATGATGACTTGATCTTGAGCCTGTCAGGGACCTTGATGTTTGCTGCGAATTTATAAATAAGCTTTTCCTATGTAACATCGATACCTTATCCTCACAGGTGAAGGTGATATGAAACAGTGAGGGAGGAGAACAGATTAAATGACAAATAGAGGTCATCTTGAACCACGAAGCTGCGGAAGTCAGGAGGTAAGATTGAGCTGGGCAGCAGAGAGAGAGAGAGAGGGAGAAGAAGAGAGGGAGAGAGTGAGGCGGTCGTCACATCCCTCTATTGTCCAGCTTCCTCCAAGCTTCAAAACCAGGGCTTCCTCAGGACACGGGACAAGGTATTTGGTAAGTTTAATATAATACACATAAACACACACAGACACACACGAGTTTGCACAGCTCTCCTTATGAAGACTTTGCATTGACCCATTTATTATGAACAACAATTCACATTTAACCCTTAACCTTAAACCTAAGTCCTAAAGATGATACAAACCAACACAGAAAGACAGTATAACTATGACCTATATTACTTATTATGTATATTTGATTTCCTTTATTCCATTAGTATTATTATCATTGAAATTGATTGTACTGAAAGAGAGAGTGAAACTAATCAAACAAAGAAGTGCTACTAAACTGCATGTTGTCATCCTAATGATAACATCTAACATAACTTATGCATACATAAGAAAATGAGTCTCTTTCTGAGTTTCTTTCAGTTAGAAATCTTTTCTATCTTTTTTTCAAATGTTCTGGTGCTCTCAGATGTCCCCTTCAGTCTTCAGAACCTCTCATCTGTCAGGTTCTTGTCCTCCTGAACAAACGAGGTGAGACTGGACTAAAAGACAGAGCAGCTGCGTGTTTGACCATTAGATGGAGATCTATCCACACTGAGGCCACTGAGCTCATCCACTATACACAGCCCAGTCTTCTGTTCAGCACAGGGTCAGAGTGGAGCGTGTCCCTCAACACTTTCTCACTTCACCTCCTCCCCTGTCTGCGGCTCCAATAATCCAATTAACTAATTTGCTGACGCTGATTTTCCAGAAGGGGGCGGTGTCATGATAGTTTTAGCAACAAGCCCAGCCTAGCAGCACAACTGAAACACACAGTCCACTCAGAGAGACGAGCCACACTCACACAATACATATGTTTAAAGGTTCTCAGTGTGGTCTGTATTTGTATGCACACATCTCAAGTGACGGTGTCTTTACTCAGATTTAGTTGAAGTTAGAATTCTGCAGATTTTGTGAAACTGTGTCTGAGCTCTCACATCATTTCAGATATGAATTAACACTGAGACTAATGACTTTTGGGCACTTCCCACTTCTTGCAGTGTGATGTAGGCCATAGTGTCCTCAGAGCGTTCAGCAGCTCAGAGTGACGTCGACTACTCAGGATTAGATGAGAGAGGAGTCAAGTTCACCACACATAGACACAGCAATACCGGAAGTACACCCAGCCTTACTTTCACAATAAAATCAATTTACCTTTTCATAATTGACATCAAGTAGATAACTTTTTGTCACTTTTATGGAATGACATATTTCATGATCAGTACAAGCGTGTACTTGACTTGTCTGCTGTGACCAGTGGCTGGTGTTGCAATGCAGATTAAATTTGTTGACAGAAATAAGACAACAAAAGTGTAAAGATAAGATCAGATAAAATTAGATACGATAACATAAGATAAGCTTAATTGATTCAATGGTGGAAAAATCCAGTTGTTACAGCAACACACAGTCAAAAAAGGAATATGACATGAAAACATGTGAAAGTAAAAACAATAGAATAAAAACAGGCAATGAAATAAAATGAAAATAAAACATTTGAATCAAATATAAATACAGAGAATATGTACATGTACACCTCTCACTAAAGATGGAAAAAAGTATTTGAGGAGAAAACTTTCCAACTCCCTAACATTGGATTTTATGTCATAATTTGTAAACTAAATAGACAAATGCAACCTCAATCTATATATAGAGATAACATGAGTATAAATGGCTATTTAGTATTTTAAGTGGGGTGTTATAACCTCTTATGTAACTTAACAATCGATTGTAGATGTCTAAATATTTCAAATTGAAATTGAAAGACTTTGTCTTGTGAGTATCCATATGTTGGGCTTAGCCTATATATAATAACTGATAGTAAATATTTATGAATTTATGAAGTATTTAAAACCTAATGTGTAAATTATGTAACATTAATGTACCATTTGAATTGAATTGAATTATGTAAATGTAGGATCGCCTCGAGATAACATGAAGTAAAATGAACGAATTGCTATTCATGTATTTTTTTAAGTGGGGTGTTTTGATATATAAATTTAAATGTAACTAAATAATTAATTGTTGATGTCTAAATATTTCAGTTTTACGTGTATAGTGAAAAGCATTGGTTTTATCTTGTTTTTGTCTTGTGAGTTTCTCTAAATTAGGCTTAACCGATATAATAACATCTGATAAAGAACATTAATGTACTAATTAAATTGAATCGATTCATATAAATGAGGGTTATTCAAATTGGTGTTTTTTTAGTTGCTTCGGTCTGGCCTTTTCAAAAATAATACACAAATTTGGAATATCTATTAAACCTAGCTCACACCTTGATTGAGATATGTGTTTATTTCGGGGTATTACAGGCTGTTCTATATATAATCTATATTACATAGATTAAATGTTGTATATTTTCATGGATAAAGTCCACTATGAGATCGACTTGAGCGTGTTTTATTTTAAAAGGGGAGGCCGCGGAGCGTTTCCTGTGAGTGTGTTGACGGCGCGTGCGGGGCGCACGGTGACAGCGCACACGGTCAGGAGGAGCGCGCGCGGCGGAGCTGGCGTGAGCCCGGAGCGGAGAAGGTGGAAGTGAGCAGCGCTGTGAGCTGGTGTGTGTTGTGATGTGATGTGTGTATCTGCACCACTGAACAGAAACACAACAACTGGAGCTTTATCTGGATTTACCTCCTCTGGAAATATCCCTTCATCTTTTCTTTTATATTTATATTAGTAAACCGTGTGCCTTGCTGCATGCGCGCACCTCCTCACAAATAGACTGGGAGCAGAGTGAGGAGCATCATCTGCGTTTTGCTGGATGTCCCCTTTATAATTAGCCTCCTTGTTATTTGCGAGGAGCAAAGTGCTCCGCGAGGATCTGCTCCTGCTTGATGGGATTATTTCCACCGGAGCCGCTTTGTTTGAGATAAGAATCATCATGAGTTCCAGAGGTAAGTCCATCCGTGCGCGCTTTCCTC